ATTTCTCAACTATGGCCATTTGAAGGCGGGTGGACTTCAACTCCCAGAATTACCCAGCCAGCTTTGCTGGCTGGGGAATTCTGGGAGTTGAAGTCCACCCGCCTTCAAATGGCCATAGTTGAGAAATACTGCTATAGGCTCTCCTGCTTGAGCTGGGGGCTGACTAGAAGACCTCCAAGGTCCCTTCCAACTCTATTATTTGTATTATTAAATGCAAAAGAGCCCCTTTTTTGCATTTAAAGCGGCAAGTCGTCCCACTCCTCCGTACCTGCCCCTCCAACATCATTTCCCCCCCCCCTGGCCCACCTTCTTCCTCCTCCGGCTCCTCGTCGCCTCTCCGACGCCCAAGCCGACGTCACGCTCCCCCTGACGTCACAAACGGCCCAGCCAATCGCCGCGGGGCGCGTGCCGAATCCGAACGCCGGCCCTCGCGGTGGGCGGGGCGCGCGAGCGACAAGCCCGACCAATCGCCTTTCCCCTTCCCTCAGAGCGGCGCGCGGCCGCCAACCCCTGCCACCACAGACCCCCACAACACCAATTCTCCCTTGCCACAGTCAGCCGACCGAGCTGGGGCGGCCCTGATTAGGATGAAGGGGAGAAATCTGGGGTGGGGAGTCTGGGGGTTTTAAGATCTCTTACTTCTTTTTCTTCTTTTTTTCCCCCTCCTGGCTCGGTTGAAAATCCGCCTCAGCTGGTAAAAAACTGGAAGCACGGCCGGCTTCCGGCGAACCAGGCCGGAAGTGACGTCGGCACCGGCCTCGTTTTGGATGGGGCGGGGCTAAACCGCCCAGCCTTTCCCTCACTTCCGGGTTGGCCCTGGTCCAGGAGGCCGAGCCGGAGGAGGAGCCGCTTGCGGCGGCCGCGGGAGCAGCAGCAGCAGCAGCAGCAGCAACCTCAGGAGCGGCGGCGAAGAGGTCGGACGCAGCTGAGGAACCCCCGCGTGTATGTCCATCCCTGAGCTGACGTAAGTCGCGGCCCGGGCCTGCGTGGGGAGAGCGGGCTCGGTTACGGGTGCCCAGGAGGGTCACAAAGGCACGAATGCGCCCCCAAGAGCAGAATGAGCAGAGCCGTGAAACCGTCCCTGCTTCTCTTTCCACCCGCAGGGTCCACATCCCGGGGGCGGTGGGCTTCGGAGCGAGGGTCCTCTCCCCTCCCTGCCTGCCTGCGAGGAGCCGAAACCCCTCCATGTGGTTCTCCCAGCAGCCGGCCAAGCTGTCCCCCCACCTTCCCCGATCCTCTACTGCCTGTCTCTCTGCCCAGACCCCCCCTCCTTGCCTCGCCCCCCGCCCCAAATTGCTCTCTGCCTCCGGACTTCAGGGTTCCGATTCAGAAAACAGCTGGAAAGGGACCTTGGAGGTCATCTAGTCCGGTGGCCTCCAACCTTTAAGCCTGGTGGACTTCAACACCCTTGAAGATTCTGGGAGTTGAAGTCCGCCAGGCTTCAAGAGGCCAAGGTTGAAGTCCCTTGCTCTATCTAGTTCGCTGCAGAGCCACAGCAAAATNCCGCCCAAGCCAGTGACCCTACACCATTTCTGACATAACAGCTGCAGTGATTCACTTAACAACTGTGGCAAGAAAGGTGGTAAAATGGGGCAAAATGTACTTATCTGTCTCGCTTAGCGACATAGATTTTGGGCTCAATTGTGGTTGTAAGTTGAGGACTTCCCGTTCATTCATTTAACTTCAAGAATACTAATAGAACATGCAATGTTGATATACTTGTTTGGCTGAACTATCTTGAAAATGCAAATGGCAATATATTGGAATTCAGCATTAAATTGATGTCCACAGAGGACAGTCACAAAATATTTACAAATATTCTAAATTCCCTGAATGTCTTTGGTTAAAACATTACATTTCATTCATGCTACTAAAGGGTTGGAGAGTAATTAATTCTGAAGGGTCTTTGATTTTTTTCATTTTAACCTGGAACTTAAAATATTCTCTATCATTATTTTTCTAATTCAGTAATTCTAAACGACAGATTGCAATTGTAGATATAGTCCTCCACTTATAACTGTTTGTTTAATGACCACTTGACACTACTGAAAAAGGGGACTCACAACTGAATGGAATAAAAGAGTTGGAAGGGACCTTCGAGGTCTTCTAGTCCAACTCCCTGCTTAGGCAGGAAACCCTATACCACTTCAGACAAATGGTTATCCAATCTCTTCTTAAAAACCTCCAGTGTGAGAGCATTCACAACATCTGGAGGCAACTTCTGTTCCACTGATTAATTGTTCTCACTGTCAGGAAATTTCTCCTTAGTTCTAAGTTGCTTTTCTCCTTGATTAGTTTCCACCTATTGCTTCTTGTCCTACCCTCAGGTGCTTTGGAGAATAGCCTGAATCCCTTTTCTTTAGGGTAGCCCCTGAGATATTAGAACAATGTTATCATGGTGTTCATGGGACATGACCCTTTTTCACATTTCTGACTGTTACAGCAGCCCCATGGTCAGGTGATTTATATCCAGTCACTTGACAACTGATTCACATTTAAGACGGTTGCAGTCATGCGGTTCGCCACTTGCGATCCATCTTTTGTGTTTGCCTTTCGCGATGACAGGCAAAGTCAACTGGGAAACCAGCTTCACTTAACAACCGTTTAACTATTTTAAGAACTGCAGTGATTCACTTAACAAATGGAGCGAGAAAAGTCATAAAACGGGGCAAAACCCATTGAACAAATGTCTCACTTAGCCACATAAACTTAGGGCTCCATTGTGGTCGTACGTTGAGGACCACCTGTACTTTGGTTTCCTTCGCTCTTATACCTAAGCACACACCAGACTTTTTTCCTTCCTAGCGGGCATCCTGGTAGGGAGGAGGGCTGGGACTGGCTCCAAGTCACCACTTTAGTCTTGGTGGCTGTAAGGGAAGTGGGGCTTCCCCACATTGCTGCTCCCCACTGAATCCCATCCTAGTTTTCCCTGTGGGCTTTTAAGAAGGGACAGGAGATTGAAATATCATCATGTCACAACCCCCATAATCCCTTGCGGGATGCAGTCTGGGCAACTGAGTGGAGCTGAGTGTTTACTGGCCAGATGCCATTCCTGTCGCCGATGCGGAGTTTTATTCGGCAGATATATTCTCATAGTGGCCAGAGAGAGAAATATCTGCCTCTACCTAGGATCGAACTCACAAGGCTTCCTCATTGTGAGGAGAGAGCTCCACCTCTAGGCCAACGCCCCACTACATTTGATTGAAATGATATATAGGGCATTATTTCTCAACTATGGCCGCCTGAAGATGGGTGGACTTCAACTCCCAGAATTCCCCAGCCAGCTTTGCTGGCTGGGGAATTCTGGGAGTTGAAGTCC